TGAACTAATATAATGACAGGCACAAAAATAAACCCTGAGATGGGGGCTATGCAGTAGACAAGCATTTCTAACCTACTCTGGTATTTAAATGTTCTTGGAACTCCAGCTGCCCTACATCTCCCTACCACCTCCAGTAAATATATATATATATATATATATATATATATATATATATATATATTTCTGTCTTTCTTTCTCTCCCTCTCTCACACACACACACACGCACGCACGCACGCACACACACACACCCTGAAGACATATTAGAAGAAATGTAGGCTAGGATCTAACTAGTTACATAATCAAATTGTCTCCTAACTCTTAAGATTAAAACAAATGTATTCAAGGCAAATAATCAGGCAGGTAAACACATGTTAATTCTTTATAACACTTACAAAAAATTTCTTATGGTTTAGACATGTCTAGAAAATCAAAGTAACTAACTTGTAAATGTCTCCAAAGAAATACTACTGCGCAGATTTTAATTTCCAGAAATATTCTTTTTTGCAGTACGCAGGCCTCTCACTGCTGTGGCCTCTCCCGCCGCGGAGCACAGGCTCTGGACGCGCAGGCTCAGCGGCCATGGCCCACGGGCCTAGCTGCTCCGTGGCATGTGGGATCTTCCCAGACCAGGGCTCAAACCCGTGTCCCCTGCATCAGCAGGCAGACTCTCAACCACTGCGCCACCAGGGAGCCCCGCAGAAATATTCTTTAAATTTGGAACTTGCTAGTATCTCTAACAAATTGGCTGTTCATTAGTATGCCTCCCAGACGTAAAATTCCACATACCCTGTAAAACCTACAAACAGAGAACCCAATCTAAGTTTAGTTCCCGTGATTAGAAAGAAGACCGATATTAAATCAGGCCGCAGTGAGGTAGCAGGTAAGGAATGACTGCTTTTTTTGTTCAGATTACATCGAAATTGTTGTTTGGTTTTTGGTGGCACGTTTACAGTAGGAATTTGTCTGTTGGTAGAATATAGTGGGAAGGATAGTAGAATATGAAACGAATGTTTATAGATTACCTATTATGTACTTGTTATAATGATAGAAACTTTATATTAATCAAATTATTTAACTTGGATGGCTACCATTTAAGGAAGGTATTATTATCTTTATTTTTCAAATTGGGAAATGAAGACCCAGAGAGGCTAAGCGACTGGCTCAAAGTAACCCAACTATTAGTGAATATGGTAGAGGTTAGAATCTAGGTCGACCCTGACTCCTGTCCCCAAGTATAGGTGGCGTACCCTTGTGCCAATGAGTACAGATTTTAAAAAAATTTTTAATTGAAGTATAGTTGATTTACAATATCGTGTTAGTTTCAGGTGTAGAGCACAGCGATTCAGTCACACACACACGCACACACACACGCACAGACACACACACACACACACACACACACATATATATACTTTTTCAGGTTCTTTTCCCTTATAGGTTATTACAAGATACTGAGTATAGTTCCCTGTGCTATACAGTAGGTCCTTGTTGGTGATCTATTTTATATATAGTAGTGTGTATATGTTAATCCCAACCTCCTAATTTATCTATCCTCCCACCCCTTTTCCCAGATTTTATTTCAAGTTGTTGGCCTTCCAGAAGTAAAGACACTGCTTTACATTTACAATTTCCTGACAAGACATCATTTAGCTCATATGATACCCCTTCTTGAGAGTAGTATATACCTCATAGAGTTTTTGTGAGAGTTAATACATAAAACTAATTAAAATAATATCTAGCACATAGTAAGTACTCAGTAAATGTTAGTTATTACTTAGAAGCATAAGTAATGACTAACCCTTATACCTTAGGAGGACTAGTTGAAGGAACCAGGTGTTTGTAAGCTGGGCAGATTAAGAAGATGCAAGTGACACCTTTCCTGTAAAATAGGGAGTAGACTTGAGCAGTGTTGATTTAAGGCAAAATGAGGACTAATGGGTAAGAAGAGTTCAAGTAGGCTGGTTTATTTTTCTGTAATTAGAAAAATAAAATTTTTCTAATTATATCAACTGTCAAAAATGAAGTAAGCCACTTAGAGATAGAGTGAAACCCCTGTTGTGGGTCTAGTTTATGCAACACCGTAGATTAACACCCCCTGAAATAGAATTCCACCAGTGAGAGAATAAGAAATGAGAAGGAGCCAGCAGGTGAAATTCCCAGCCCTTTTAACCAACTCTTCCAAGTTGGAGTTGCTTTATTTGCCTTACAGGGAGACCAGGACTGACTACATGTTTAGGGGGACCTAGTGCAAAATTAAATTGCAGAGCCCCATTTTAAAAATTACTAAGACTTTCAAAATGGTGGCAACAAAGCGCTAAACAAAGTGCAGGGCACTTTTAATGCAGCCGTAAGTTTGCATGTGGGCTGACATCCTTGGTTTCTTACATCTCCAGTACTTTATTTTCTTTCATTCATTCATAATGTTAATAAATTATTAGAGAGGGAGAATAGAGAAGCTGAAAAAAAGAAAAGGTGTCCCTTACTTCTCTTCCTTATCTCTGTTTCTCACTTTCCCCTTTGTCTAAGCATCTCCTTCAACTTCCTGCTTCCTTTCATGCTCACATAATAATTGATATGCTAACTTACCATCACTTCGGTTGTATCTAACTTCTACATGCACATCCAGTTGCAGAAGTGGGAAAACATTTAAATCTGAATCAAAATTTCTTGAAATATACATATTCATTCAACAAACATTTACTGAGTACCATGTGTGATAAGTACTGAGGGAAAAGCCAAGTACTAGGTAGGGATCTTACCATTAAGTAGCAGGAGGTTTTATAGCAGAGACTCTATATACAAAAAATGAAAAAAAATTTCACTTAAAGCAGAAGGTGGTGTGTGGAAGATCACTTAAACAAATAGAAGTGTCTCTAAATGGTAGAGAATTTGGACTAGAGCTCTAGAGGGATTTACAGAGGACTAAGGATTTGACAGGTGGAACTGAGGAGGACAGATGTCTAGGAAACATTGTTTTATTCAAAATTCAACTTTAGGGTAAAAGCAATTTTAGTGGATTAAAAAGAATGTCTCGTTATTTGAATTATCTAGACTTTTGTGTGCATAGCAACTTGATTAGGCTGTTATTACTCTGTTGAACAATCAGAAGGATCCTCATGATCACCCCCTTTTTTACTACTGGAATTACTATTGCTTTTCGCAGGAGGATTACTATTGTGACTTAAACCTCGCCTATGGGCACATTTTGTTTATTGCGGAAAGTTGTCCTGAGTTTATTTCTTCTGTGTAGCCTATATGACATAAACAACTTGTCAACTTCATATCTTCAGTTTTTCAGTCAAGCAAGTGGGAAAGGAGAAACCCTTTGAATAATTAGCAAGAATCTCCTGGAAAAACCCAAGAGAAAAAGTTCAGCTTTAAAGTCAGAGAGAACGGTTACCTCCACAGCAAACTCGTCCTTTAAATAAAGCAAGCAATGATTGCTGAGCCATTAGCACATTTATGGCAGGACAAAACTCTCTTCGACTTCTCCGATAAAGAATAATTTCCAAGCTTGTCAGATCTAAACAAATGGAACTAAATTGGACATAGCTATTTGAACTGACAAAGTAATAGGAAAAAAAAAATAATTTGTCTTTAGTGTTGGTGTTTGATTTTCAGTCTCTTGAACTTCCGGGTATATTTAAGCGATTTCTCCTCATTGAGTTATAAAGGTGTACGTGTCAGTGTGATGAATTTGTATCAGAAGACTTTGGCTGAAATTTGCCAGGGGATTGATTTTTGTCAGTCTCTTGAATTTTTCATTGCAATTCTGATATGCCTCTGAATGAGACTGAAATTTACTTTAAAAAAAAAAGAATTGTAATATTATTCTATTTCTGTTTCATGGTCCTTTAATGAAAAGAACTGTTTCAGAGACCTGGATTTAAAAATCAATGTCATGGGGGCTTCCCTGGTGGCGCAGTGGCTGAGAGTCCGCCTGCCGATGCAGAGGACACGGGTTCGTGCCCCGGTCCGGGAAGATCCCACATGCCGCGGAGCGGCTGGGCGCGTGAGCCATGGCCGCTGAGCCTGTGCGTCCGGAGCCTGTGCTCCGCAATGGGAGAGGCCACAACAGTGAGAGGCCCGCGTACCGAAAAAAAAAAAACCAAAAATCAGTGTAAGGGGCTACCTATCAAATTCTAATAGTTACCTTGCCTTTTCAACTAGAACCCTGCCAAATGCTGTTGATATTGATAGAAGTGTCTTCATACAAAATTGGCGGTCATAGAGTAATAGGGTATCTATAAACTAGTACCTCTGTGAAAAGAAAGCATCTTGAGAGATCTGGAAAGTGTGCATGTATTTAAGAGTAGTTTGAATACAATACTTAAGATTATTGGTTGTCAATGAGGAGAGAAAAAGAAAAGTGCAGAGAGTGTTAGGGGTAATTAAAGCAACTAACGATAGTGTTTGAGGGCTCACTGAAGCTTTGTGGGTGTGTATGCACACACATGTTTGCTCTGGTTTGCTCTAAATTCTCTGTATCAACAGTTATTTATCATTTCTCTATGAGTATGAAAAGTACTAAAGTCAGGAACTTTTACCATAGATATTGGTTTATAAAAATCAGGATCTTTCAACAAGAGAAAAATATTTGATCCTTTTATGTAATTTAACTTTAAATCATTTATATAGCCAACATCACGCATTAATAAGATAGGATCTCTTTGAATGTTAGTTTCTCTTTAATCTTCAAATTAGATTTTAAAGAATGAAATATTAGGAATTCCATCAATAAATTTAAATAGAAATGGATTCATTTGAGCTAATGGCTGAATAAAATGATGGCGTTGCCGTATTAAACATGATGATTTGGTATATTATATTACACATTTTCACTTATTTCATGGAGAGTAGAATTTTTATGAGTAGTAATTCAGAAAAATGTGAGTTGAGTTCATGGAACTATTCTCCACATTAAAAAAATACTTGAACTGATACTGTTTTCTTTTAGTTGTAAAAGAAATGTTCTGAACACTTTGCACGTTGTTCTTTAGTTTCAGCTCAAATTCTCAAGAGCAACCTTGCAGCAATGGAACAACAAATTGTTCATCTGGAACGTGACATCAAGCAATTTCCCAAAACAGAAAATCAACGTGATAAGTTTGTGGAAAAGCTGACGATATCCTTTATTTATTTAAGCATTTTGTTTATTTGTTAGTTTCTGTGTGTGTGTTTGTCTGTCTGTCTGTCCATATACCTATTTACCTTGTGGTTAGTTCTAAACTTACCATTCTAGTCACAGTTTGGATGAATTTGTATATAGGCTGTTTTTATATTACCAGCATAAATTTTAGTTCATGACGTTCTGAATCGTAGAGTAGGCAAGGGAACAATTATATAAGAAAAAATGCCATTTCTCAAAGACAAATTTCATTTGAAGGCCCACAAGATATGCAAGGTAAGTCTTTTGAGGCTTGATGTGACCTAAAACAGAACAAAGAATCTCCTTATTGTTTAAAGGAAATGATCAACAGAAGAATTTTTTTGCTCAGAGGTTTTTTTCTTTTTGTGTGTGTGTGCAGGTATTTTCTGAGGCGATATGTGCATTTTCGAGGGCAATCAGAGGATAACTGGTATCAGTAGACTGAAAGGTTATGAAGAAAAAAATGGATGCATGCATGGACAGATAGATTAATTGATCAGTAGATTATGTATTTAAGTAAATTGTAATAGCTATCTGTATAACGTTAGGCATTGCCTGCTACCTAAATGCTTTTAAATCCCTATTTTGCATATAGTGTATTCATATAAATTACAGAAATATATGAAAGGAAAACTTGAGAAATGATATTTAGCGTGAATTGTTTAATGTTAAATCTGTTGTCTAAAGATAAACTACATTAGAGCTGATTTTTTTTTTTTTCTATTTTGGTTTTCAAAAGTTAAAGCCATATCCTACTCTTCTGGGTTTAAATAAATATCTTGAACTGCACATTGATTCACCATTTTATACTTCAAGAGGGAATAAATACTGTAAATTCTTTATCTGATAATAAGTAAATTCCTTCAACAACTATATGGCAGTCACCTTGTTTCAAGGTTAAATCTATTGCCTTTTTCTTCTCTGATATGCTTTCTTTCCTGCCCAACTTGGAAGTTATGGTCCTGAGCTTGAATTACTTGAGAATGGCAATTTAGGTTTATGTGAAAAACAGTTTTTATTTTCACTCTTTGGTTCATGAATTAATACTGTATTTTGTGTGGTCCTTTAGTGATGGTGAGTAGTTATAGAAATAGGAATATTGGGAACATAAGTTTGTGGGTGACTGGAGGCAGGAAGTACTCAAAAATAACCTTGGATTACGTACCTGTCCACATCAGGATATTTAATGTGAAGATTTAACTTTGTTGCTGATTAGATTTTTCTTTCAAATTTGTTATATTGTCCTGTGGCTGGAAGCACCACCTACATTTTTCAACTTTTGATTTTGATTCTTGCCTCACATACTTGAATTTAATTCCTGATTCCCTTGTTCTTTTTAACATTTTCTTCTACAGTTGGCTTGTGGCCACACGACAGCATACAACATTGAGGGGTCTTTGTTGCTCATTTAGAAAAAGAAAAGTAATTTCAAACCCTCATGAACTTGGCCTGGACTCTATTTTATTTCTCTCTTTATGCAGGTAATTAAGCGCTTTAAAATGAAAATCCAGAGCCTTCTGTATCTGTATGTTACAGATGAATGGTTATTCTTCATTTAAGTGACACTAAAGCGTGACTGTTTGTCCACAAGGGGATTGAAAACTGTATTAAAATGTATGGGGCTGTTACTTTGCATATCATATTTTAAAAAGCAAAATAAAATACACAGCAATTTATTTTAGAGAAAAAGTTAGACTATTGTGTTGAGTTGTCTAAAAACTCCAAATTAATAAATTACAGTGATAGAACTGTGGCTCAACTTATTCTTGCTTCGGGAGACTCTTTGGACACCAAGTGAGAGTTTGTATCTTCTAGAAAATGGCAAACAAAATGTTTAATCATCCTATGATATATGAATTCTGGTGCCTTCTTAATATTTTTTCTACTCTTCTGGCAATTCCAAAAGAGAGGGATATTTTCTTGTGGGATACTTGATCCTGTTGTAAAATTAGAGCCATGATCCTATTTCTAGTATAGGATTCTTTGTACTGGATGATCTTTCCAATGTTTCTGTCCCCTGCCAATAAATTCTTTTGCTTCAGGCACTGGCCTTTTAAATTGAATAACTATGGGCACAAGTATGGGGGTAGTTTCCCCTTGAAAGTAACCTTACCTACTTAAACAGTAATCTCTCTATAAGGACTGTGAGTTCCAAAACTGAATAGCAGTGACACTCCTCTGGGCTTTCAGAAGGGCATCAGTGCTATAGTTAGCAGCAGTGGCATGATGGCCAAGGGCAAGTGAATACGCAGCCCAAATCTCCAGGTTGGGCTAAGTCCCATAGCATCCTATGTTCACCCTTACTCTTTCACAGTATTGATTGAACTCATAATATGCTCGGCATTGACAGGCCATGGAAATTCAACAGTGCACGAGATAGAAGATTTGACCACAAGTTGCTGACAGTCTGGCATTTACCTACTTCTCTGTCTTGATGACCCAGTGACCAAGATCAGGTCTAGTGTGTTAATTTCTATATGCCCATCCCAATGCACAGCACCTAGCAACATGAAGGCGCTCAGTAAGTGTATATTGAATCACAGAATATTATAGCTATAGAGACAATGGAGATCATCTGGTCCAAGATCCTACTTTGACTTAACACATCAAAGGGGATATTGTTGAAAGAGTAGTAGGCTGTGCTTGTAGTTATAAAACTTTTCTTCATATAAATTTTCACAGGAACTTGAGTCACATTGAATCACCTTTTCAGAGCATGTAAAGTGTAAATCAGTTTTAGAAAAGATAATCCACACCTTTTAAAAGTAAATGTCAAAAAAATTAACCAAAGAAAAGAGAATGATACCTCTCCTATGAATGGAGTGGCCCAGGCTATTTCCTGCCTCCTAAGCAATAGTCAGTGGCTTTTGAATGAAGCTTGTCACCTCTGCTTCCCTTTCTCTACCCCAAACTGGTTGCTTGTTCCAACTCAAAAAAGAAAAAAAAAAAGGAAAGAGTAAAATAAGCAATATTAATTTTGTAAGACTACAAAACAGGGAGAAATGGAGAAAATTCTCTCATAAATCATCGTAGAGAGGTTCTAGGATGAAAGGGGATGGTCTATAATGGATACAATAGCACCATATATATTGAAACACACATGGTTCAAAAATCTGGATACCATGTGTGGGAATTTGCTATTATTCTGATTTTTTTTAAAAGCAAAGTTCTTTGTATTCTTCATGCCAGTATGCTCATCATAATAATATTGGGGAAGTTTTAAGTTCAATTGTTTGTACAGTGAATTCAAATAGAATCTATATTCCTTTTTTGGTAAGTTATAAAAATGATGATAATATTCACTCGTTAATTGAATGTTTACTATGTATCAGACACTGCCTAATTTTACATACTTGAGCTTTTAAAAAATGGTCCTATTCATTAAATGAAGAGTATTTTCCATATCTGGTGATGAAATTGATCACAGTTGTCCCTTTGTCATTGTAGTGAGCTCAAATTGTCTCAGGATAACAACCCATAAAGTTATTTGTCATAGGCCCATTGTTTTAAATTCATTAATTTCGAGGGGTCATCTCTTTTTATCTTTTAAGGTTACCAGGAATTCTGTAGTCTCTGTCTGTGTTTGGCACCTATTGCAAAAATTGGTAGGGTGAGGTTCAAAATCACATCCGGTTTCAAAGTTTTGAAAAATAACCCATGCTAAGGAAGGGTGAGAGGGAGCACTGTGAGTGGTCTGCCTGCCAATCCTGAGGCTCATTCTTGTTTTGTTTTGTTTTGTTTTGGCCACACCACGCAGCTTGTGGGATCCTAGTTCCTTGACCAGGAATTGAACCTGGGCCCTAGGCAGTGAAAATGAGGAGTCCTAACCACTGGACCACCAGGGAATTCCCTGAGGCTTGTTCTCATGGACTTGACATTATATGTGGATTCTGATTTTTTCAGCTTTTGTCTTTTGACCAATCATGTGACTATGAAACAGTTTTTCTTTCTTTCTTTTAAATCTAAGCATCACTTTTACTTACTGCTCCTTGCTTTTTCCAACAGGAAAAAACATTCTTAAAAGAGGGCTTCTTAGACTTTAGAATATGCGTTGTGGTCCATTCTTAACATCTTAAACTGTCTACAAAACACGTTATCCACAGTGTTGACCTTACTGCTTATATCCTGTTGACAAATTTCTTACATTTACTTACATAGATTTTGTCAATGGCAGAGCTGTCTGTTGCTGCAAATCAGCTTAGCTTTTTGATTGACTGCTGGCTAAATCATCTCACCAACTGGAGGGCAGGGAGGACTGAGCAGCAGGGGCACCATTAACACATTGACAAAAGGAGCTGACAGAAAGTTAATGACATTAACACCCTGTAGCTAACTATCAACACCTGGGAGTTTCTCATAGTGGGAGGGAGAGTCATTTGAAGTGGTTAAAAATCAAGTTCCGGAGGAAGCACATTGCCCTGACCAGACAATTCACAACAGATTCGGGGTCTCTACTGTACTGCAGTTACGTTGATCTTTCTCCCACTATCCTTTATTAAGTGAATAATTTTTGAAAAGATGAAAAACTCACAGGGTTAGTGTTCAACCTCAGTAATATTAATCACCTTTGAGAACATGCCATATAAAAAATAGACAAAACAAAAACAAAACAGAAACCTCAAGAGCAAGTTTTTTTTTGTTTTTTGGGTTTTTTTTCTCTCTGGTATGAATGTACTAATCCAGGCTGTTTTCTAGCTGCTGAAAAATCGAGAGGTTTAGGTTAGACTGGAGGGAAGTTTAGTGGCTCGGACTCTCTCTCATTACCTTTAATTGCCTGCCGGTCTCAGACTCAGAAAATTAGGAAGTTCAAAGCAAAACATTTTTAAATGAGACTGCTCAAGGAGAGAGGGTCCAGGATTGAAGGAAGGAAGGAAGGGAGGGAGGGAGGACAAAGAAGGAAAGGAAAGGAAAGGGAAAGAAGGAAGGAAGGAGGGAGGGAGGAAGAGGAAAGAAGGAAAGGAAAGGAGGAAAGGGAA